TCCTTCTAGTAAAAGCACTGAGCACAAACTCCAGATCGTCCTCATCTTGACAGCCCTAGCCGAGCTGGGTACCTAGAAGAAACTCAATGACAATGTATTAAGCAAGACTGGCATTTATGTATGTGTAAGCCATAAGGTTTGTTTGAGATGGTTTGGTGCCTTACTTTTTTATTGTTGTGACAAAACCCCATATCCTAGGCAATTTATGAAAGAAAGCATTTTCTTGAGTACATGATCATCATGGTGGGAAGCATGTCAACAGGAATTCATGGTGCTGGAACAGTAGTTGAGAACTTACATTTCATCCACAATCAAGAGGCAGAGACAAGCTGGGCTGTGGTGGTGCACGCCTTTGATCCCAGCACTCGGGAAACAGAGGCAGGCGGATCTCTGTGAGTTCGAGGACAGCATTGTCTACAAAGCTACACAGAGAAACCCTGTCTCAGGAAGAAATAGATAAATACATAAATACATGCATACATGCATGCATGCATACATACATACATACATGCATGCATACATACATACATACGAGGCAAAGACAACTAACAAGGAGTTGTGTGAGCTTTTGGAACCTCAAAGCCCACCCCCTCTGACACACCTCCTCCAACAAGACCTCATCTCCTAACCCTTCCCAAGCAGTTCTACCAAGTAAGGACCAGGCATTCAAATATTTGAGCCTGTGGGGACAGTCTCATTCAAGCCACCGCATGTGGTAATTGTTGTTTGTCTATCTTCTGTCTGTTTGTTTTAAGGCTGGCTCTCACTGTGAACCCTGGCTGGCCTAAAATTCACTGTGTAGATCAGGTTGGCCTCAAACCCAGAGATCTGCCTGCCTCTCCCTTCTAAGTGCTGGGATTAAAGACTGTACCACCATGCCTACCTTATTTGTTTTTAATGATTTTGTGTGCGTATGTGCATGCGTGAGTGTGGGCATGTGCATGCTATGGGATGTGCCTGTGCCAGGAGATCAGAGGACAACTCCTGCAAGTTGTCTGACCCTGTCTGTGTCTCTCCTTGCTTCTGCTGCATTGCATACCCCAGACCAGCTGGCCCACAAGCTTCCCGGTGATTCTGTGGTCTCTGCCTCCCATCCTGCCCTAGAAGTGCTGGGATTACAGATGTGTTCTACTTCACCCAGCTTTCTGCAGGTTCTGGGGATTGAACTCAGGACAGCAGGCTTGCATGGTGAGTACCTTTACCTGCTGAGTCCTCTCTTTGCCCCTCTCCTCTTTGTGGGACCAGCAGTGTCTTGCTAGGAAGCTCAGACAGCCTTCAGGGTTGCAGCCCTCCTGCTCCGTACTCCCAAATACTGGATTTACAGGCATCGGCCTCCATGCCTGGACTGAGAAGCGCCTGACTTCTGAGGTGATGATCCTGCAGTGATGGCAGGTGGATTAAAAAAGAAGCATCATACAATTGTGCTATCCACCAAGTGGTGAGGAGTGAGAAGAAATAAAGCAGGGTAGAGGGCAGAACCTCTGCAGAGTTATCTTTGGTACAGAGGCCTGGCATACAGACTGGAGAGAATGCCTAGCAAGGACAACAAGGCCTTCACCCAGGACAAAACAAAAAGTAAATACATTAAAAAAAAAAAAAAAAAAAAAAAAAAAAAAAAACAAAATTAGCATTACTGAGATTCCCGTGATCTCAAAACCCACCATTTACTTACTTCCCGGAGTCTTGCTTTGTAGCCCAGGATAGCCTTGAACTCTCAATCTTCCTGCCTGGGTCATCCAAATGGTATGTGTCACCATGCCTGGCTGAAACTTTTTTCTAAGGGGCTGGAGAGAGAGCTCAGCAGGTAAGAGCACTGGCTGCTCTTCCAGAGATTCTGAGTTCAATTCCCAGCAACCACATGGTGGCTCACAACCATCTGTAATGGTGTCCAATGCCCTCTTCTGGCCTGCAGGCACACATGCAAGCAGAACACTGTATACATAATAAATAAACGCATCTCTTTAAAAAAAAAAGTTCTGATGCAAAATCTCACTGTGTAGTACTGGATGGCCTAGAACTCAGAAATCTGCCTGCTTATGTCACCAGAGTCCCGAGATGAAAGGTATGTGTCACCACACCCAGCGTAAAAACTCACTGTTTCAAAATATATGAGTCATTAGGTTTTTTTGTTGTTGTTGTTAGGGTTTTGGTTTTGGTTTTTTCAAGACAGGGTTTCTCAGTAGCTATGGAACCAGTCCTTGAACTTGCTCTGTAGACCAGGCTGGCCTTGAATTCACAGAGATCCACCTGCCTCTGTCTTGCGAGTGCTGGGATTGAATAAAGGCATATGCTATCTCTGCCTGGCTTGATTCAGTAGTTTTTAGTAAAGCCACATCCCAAGCCATAAGTAGCAGGGTTCCAATGAACCCTGAATTTGAAGGAACCACAGCAGAAATTAGAAAATATTTTAAACTAAATTATAATGAATTTGACTGTGGTGGTACATGTTTATCATCCCAGCACCCAGGAGACTGAGGCAGAAAGATTTTCATTTCCAGGCTGCCCTGGGCTATATAAGAAATTCTACCTCGGGCTGGAGAGATGACTCAGAGGTTAAGAGCACTGGTTGCTCTTCCAGAAGTCCTGAGTTCAATTCCCTAAAACCATATGGTGGCTCACAACTATCTATAATGAGATCTGGTGCCTTCTTCTGGCATGCAAGCAGAACAGTGTATACATAATAAATAAAATAGTAAATCTTTTTTAGAAAAGAAATCCTGTCTCAAATAAATAAGTAAAAAATATAGATAGAAATTATCAAAATTGCGATACACAACTAGAGCTATTTAGAAGGAAATGTATAGCTTTAAACACATGTACTTGATTTTTTTTTAGACTTTTTTTTTTCAAGACAGGGTTTCTCTGTGTAGCCTTTTCTGTCCTAGAACTTGCTCTGTAGACCTTTAACCCACAAATGTCTACTGCCTCTGCCTCCCGAGTGCTGCAATTAACAGTGTTCTCCACTATCACCCAACTGACCTTAGACTCTTATAGTAATTTATGTGCATGCAGACTACAGCACAACCCTCTCAATAGTAGGTTTTCTCCTTCTACCAGGTAGGTCCTGGGTAGCAAACGTATGTCATCAGATTTGGCAACAAGCGCCTTTACCTGATAAGCCATTGCAGTAGCCCAAATACGTACATTTGAAAAGGTGGTCAGGCATGGTAGGATTTGCACTGGGGATGAAGCAGGAGGATGGTAAACTGGAGGCCATTCTGGCTATATAGCCCCACAAGGAAGCTAGCAGATAAAGAGAATAATTCACATGTGGTTACCAGGTCAAAAGACAGGAAGATAGGAAATGTGTAAGAGACGGTAGACA